TATTGAACTCAATATTGAGTCCGGAGGGCTGTAGTGTCCCCAAGCGGTCCCCAAGGTCACCCTCCCAGCCTGATCGTTAGCAACTCCTTTGTCTGTCCAACTGTCTTACTCTCTCTTTGGGCTCTATCCTATCGTTTACTCCCTACCCCATCCACCTCCCTATTTTCTGCATATAAACTGACGTTTTCCCAGCCTCCATCAGTTCTGAGGAAGGGTCACTGGACCCAAAACGTTATCTCTGTTTTCTCCTTCACGGATGCTGCCAGACCTGCTGAGCTTTTCCAGCAACTTTGTTTTTGTTCCTGATTTACAGCATCCGCAGTTCTTTTGGTTTTTATTGAGAAAGAAACCTACACTGCCGTCTGATCCAACAGTGAACCTTCACAGTTACTGTCTGTGCTAATGGATTTCAAGGAGCTCTGGACATCAGTGTTCCTCTGAGAAAAGTAAATAAACAGCGAAGTTCACAGCTGACCTTGGAGAGCAGGGGAGCAGCTAAGTGGCTATTTTTTTTTGTAGATCTACAATAGTGAGTAGAGTGGGTCCTTTTTTGATTTGTTTTTATTGAGATCTTTTGGTTAAATTATGAAAATATAAAACATAGGCACTAAGTTAGCCTGGAGCAGTGTTTTTAGTACAGTAAGACTGTGCCATTTTCTGGGTGTGTAGTTTAAGGTGCCAAGATGGCCATTAGTAGAGTGATGTGCTCTTCCTGTTGGATGTGGAAGATTAGGGAGCGTTTCCATGTTACTGATTTGAGGTTGTTGATTTGTTCGCTGAGTTGGTAGGTTGGTTTGCAGACGTTTTGTCACCATACTAGGTATCGTCAGCGCGCCTCCAATGAAGTGCTGTTGGTCTGTCCCGCTTGTTATTTATGTGGTCTGGCCTGATGTCCACAGACCTCCAGGAAAGATAGGAGAGGGAGGCAGGTGGTGCAGGAGTCTCCTGTGGCTGTCCCCATCTTAAACAAGTATGCTGTTTTAGAAAACGTACGGGGTGGTGGACTTTCAGGGGAATGTAGCACTGACAACCAGTTTTCTGGTACCAAGACCAGCTGTAATGTCATGAAGTTGGGGGTGGGGGGGGAGTTGCAGGGAGATAGTGAGAAAAGAGATCAGTTTGAAACTGATACAGTTGAGAAAAGGAGTAAGTCAAACAGTCAGGGCTGGCAGGAACAAAGTAGAGACCTACCCTTGGGAAATAAGGCAGGTCAGGTGACTGAGGTGTTAGTGGGGGAGTAGTTTGGGGCCAGTGACCATAATTCTATTAGTTTTAAAATAGTGATAGAAAAGGATAGATCAGATCTAAAAGTTAAAGCTCTAAATTGGAGGAAGTCCAATTTTGACGGTATTAGGCAAGAACTTTCAAAAGTTGATTGGGGCCAGATGTTCGCAGGCTAGAAAATGGCAACATCCAAAACTGAGAGAAGGAGAATCCAGATCCTGTTAAGGTGAAGGGCAAGGCTGGTAGATTTCAGACTAGATTTGTAGCTCGGGTTGTGGATGTTGTGGTTGGTTGGCTCACCATTAGCCATTTTGTTCTGCTGTTTTGTGAGCTTGTGGGTTGTTAGGGGGTTTGTATTTCACACTACATGGTAATACCTGGTTCCTGAGGCATCCATGCAGGAAGTAGAGTTGTTCGCGGGTAGCGGTCTGTCGTTTGGTGTAGTTCTCCCATTTTCGTGCCAATTTGAGCGTGCTTCGCCCGTAGGTCTCTAAGGTTTTAGAGTAGATTTGTAGCTCGGGTTGTGGATGTTGTGGTTGGTTGGCTTGGCTTTAGAGGAAAATCAGGAGGGCAAAAAGGGTACGTGAGAACTTTATTTGCCAAATAAAGTTAAGGAGAACCCAAAAGGATTCTACAAATAATCTAAGGACAAAAGAGGAACGAGGGAGAGAATAGGCTCCCTTGAAGTTTAATATGGCCACATATGTGTGGAATCACAGGAGATGGGGATACTAAATGAGTATTTTGCATCAGTGTTTACTGTGGAGAAGGATATGGAGGATAGAGAATGTGGGGAAATAAATAGTGATATCTGAAAATGTCCATATTATATTGGAGGAGATACTGGATGTCTTAAAATGCTTAAAGGTGGATAAATCCCCAGGACATGATCAGGTTCCCCCTAGAACTCTGTGAGAAGGTAGAGAAGAGATTGCTGGGTCCCTTGCTGAGACATTTGTCTCATCGATGGCCATAAGTGAGGTGCCAGAAGACTGAAGGTTGGCTAATGTTGTGCCACTATTTAAGAAAGATGGTAAGGATAAGCCAGGGAACTATAGAATGGTGAGCTTGACATCTGTGGTGGGCAAGTTGTTGGAAGGAATCCTGAGGTATTTGGAAAGGCAAGGACTGAATATGGGTAGTCAACATGGCTTTGTGCATGGGAAAAAATGCCTCACCATCTTGGAATTTTTTGAAGAAGGAGCGAAGAGGACTGAGGGCAGAACGGTGGATGTGATCTATATGGACTTCAATAAAGCAGATGACAAGGTTCCTTGTAGACTGGTTAGCAAGGTTAGATCACACGGAATAAAGGGAGAATTAGCCATTTGGATACAGAACTGGCTCAAAGGTAGAAGACCAGAGGGGGGTGGTGGAGGGTTGCTTTTCAGACTAGAGACCTGTGATTAGCGTGCCACATGGATCGGTGCTGGGTCCACTGCTTTTGTCATTTATATAAATGATTTGGATGTGAACATAGGAATGGTTAGTAAGTTTTCAGATGACACCAAAATTGGAGGTGTAGTGGACAGTGAAGAAGGTTACCTCAGTACAGTGGGATCTTGATCAGATTGGCCAATGGGCTGAGGAGTGGCAGACGGAGTTTAATTTAGATAAATGTGAGGTGCTGCATTTTGGAAAGGCAAATCAGCACAGGAATTATACACAATGGTAAGGTCCTGGGGAGTGTTGCTGAACAAAGAGACCTTGGAGTGCAGGTTCATAGTTCCTTGAAAGTGAAGTTGCAGGTAGACCGGGTTGTGAAGAATGTTTGCCTTTATTGGTCAGTGCATTCAGTATAGGAGTGGGGAGGTCATGTTGCAGCTGTACAGGATTTAGGTTCGGCCACTTTGAGAATTGCGTGCAATTCTGGTCTCCCTGCTATAGGAAGGATGTTGTGAAACTAGAAAGGGTTCAGAAAAGGTTTACGAGGATGTTACCAGGATTGGCGGGTTTGAGCTATAGAGGGTGGCTGAATAAGCTGGGGCTATTGTCACTGGAGCGTTGGAAGCTGAGGGGTGACCTTGTAGAGATTTACAAAATCATGAGGGATATGGAAGGGTAAATAGGCAAAGAGGGAGTCCAAAACTGGAGGGCATCGGTTTAAGGTGAGGGGGTATTTAAAAGGAAGATTAGGGGAAGTGTTTTCACGCAGAGAGTGATGCATGTATGGAATGAGCTGCCAAAGGAAATGATGGAGGCTGGTACAATTTCAACATTTAAAAGACATCTAGATGGGTATATGAATAGGAAGGGTTTTGAGGGATATGGGCCAAATGCTGGCAAATGGGACTAGATTTTTGTAGGATATCAGGTCAGCATGGAGGAGTTGGACCGGAAGCGTCTGTTTCTGTGCTGTACGTCTCTGATTCTATTTCAAGACAACTGTTCATCATCTATTCAAGGGCACTTGGTGATGGGGAGCAAATCTGCTGACCTTGCCAGTGATGCTTCAAAACCATGAAAGAATAAAAAACACTCCTCGTAATCTAACCTTTTTGATGTCCACTTATCCTTCTGCTAAATCTAGGATGGCCTCCCTCCACTGCCAATATATCCTTCCTAAGGTCTAATGTCCAGAATGTACCACAATACCTACATTGCCTGGCATTTCACTATTTAGAATAAATCCTGTTTTGTTGAAAGTGGCTGATTTCACATTTTCCTGCACAGTATAACCCATCTTATTGCTTTGTAATTTTAGTAATAATGCTTCTTTTTGTCTTTGACAGACTTGGGTATGTGACTTTCTAACCCAGCATCTACAGTCTTACTGAATATGATGAATTGTTGAGGCCCCAACATGGATCCTCACAGGACACCACTAGTCACATCTGCCAATTACAATACTTGCCCATTGTCCTTACTGTCTCCCGCTGCTCTTCCTAACTAGGTTGTCAATTTACTTTTGATTCCATGGGCTTCAGTTTACCTAAAATTTCTTGCATGTATCAAATGTCTTCTGGAAGTTGATATAAATAAAATCCATAGAAATTCATTTGCCACCTCTTCAAAAAAAATTTGTTACATATGGCTAACTCTTGACAAATCCATGCTGACTTTCTGATCAGTTAAATTTTCAACATGTTCATTCACCCTTTCCTTAATTACAGACTCTAATTTCCATACTACAGATATTAGGCAAACTGGCCCATGACTCCATTTTCCTCCTGTTGCTTTTCTTAAATAAGAATGGAAATATCACAGGTTAATCTAATGGAACAGCTTTTGAATTAGGTCAACTTTGGAATAACATAGTTAGAAATCTGCTCACTTGCTTTAAAATCCTGGAATGGAATCCTATCTGGTCTTTGCAATTTATCATTCTATAGCACCATTATTTTTTTTCATTAGTTTTGAGTCCCTGTCCTTTGGAATGCACAGCATGTTGATCTCTTCCTCTACTGTAAACCTGAGTGTGAGTAATTATTCAACATGACTGTTATTCTCTTATTTTCATGGTCAGTGTTACTGTGATCTTTTCTTGAAGAGCCCATGTGACTCCACTGGTCTTCCCTCCTGGCCCCCCATCTCGCTGCCTTTTTCTAGGCATCCCCCCTGCCCAAATCACCTTTGCCATTTACCTTCCTCCCTGCCCTTCACTATTTTCATGTCCTCCCCCACCCTTTTACCTCTAGACCACAAGGTGTGGCCAGGCCAAACAGCATCCTGTGCCATATTTTACAAACTCTGAAATGGATAATCCAGATTGAGAGATAGCAAGAACTGCAGATACTGGAACCAGAGATGATAACAGTACGGAGCTGGAAGAATACAGCAGGCCAGGCAGCGTCGGAGGAGCAGGAAAGTTGTCGTTTTGGGCCGGGACCCTTCTTCAGAAATGGGGGAGGGGGAAGGGAGCTCAGAAATAGAGAGGAGGAGTGGGGCTGGGGGAAGGTAGGTGGGATGATGATAGGTGAGTGCAAGTAGGGAGTGATGGGGATTAGTCAGTGAGGTGGGAGGGGTGGATAGGTGGGAGAGAAGATGGACAGGTTGTGTCAGGTCAAGGAGGCAGGGATGAGAGGGAGGGTTGAACTGGAATGAGGCCAGGGGTGGGGAGATTTTTAAAACTGGTAAAATCCACATTTAGGCCATTGGGCTATAGGCTCCCGAGATGGAATATGAGGTGCTGCTCCTCCAGTTTGTGAGTGGTGTCATTCCAGATTGAGTTGTTTTACCACACTAACTTGCACAAAACATTAGTATATCAGATAAAGATCTTCATGCATACTGCTTGAAGCTTAGACAAGTGCTTTCTTCCTGCTTGGCACCAAATTCTTGACTTTTATGCTGTGTACGCTTCAGCCCACTTCTGATCACACAGTAAATCCATTCTGTCATTCTGCAGTTGGCATCATTGAAGCAGTCCCGTCAAGTTGAGGAAGACAGGCTCATGTCCCTACAGGAACAAGCAGAGGAGCTGCAGGCACTAAAGGAGCGGGTAATGATGTTTGTGATCACATGGAGCATATTAGGTTTTAAAAAAATGCCAAGGTATTCAACTTCGCAAAGTGATTAATCTGCACTGGGACATATGCATAAGGAACAGGAGGTGAAAAGCTAGAACTTACATTTCTAAAACAGTTTTCATATCCTTGGTCTCAAGGCATTTCAGAGTCAATGAAGTGCTTTTTGAAGTGCAACCACTGTTTCAATGTAGAGAAAAGCTAATTTGTGCACAGCAAGGTCCAAAACAGCAATGAGATTTTTAAAATAGTTTGACTATGCTTTGCTCCTGTGATTTGAGTGTTAAACATTGGCCAGTATATCAGGGAGATTCCCTCAATATCCCCTACTTCTTTAAGTTGTACTGTAGGGCATGTGCATCAGTGTGAAACCTGTTCCTTCCCTAGCAGCACCTTGACAGCAAGGGAGTACCTTGACAACAACATCTGGTTCATGAAGTTGGCTCACTACCAGTATGTCATTGATGGAGTTTAGGAATAAGCAATAAATGCAGGTATTACCACAGACAGTCTTGCCCTTAGGTTAAATAAAACAAATTCCAACAAGAATAGAGGCATTTTCCATGACTTGTTTCGGTGGTACTGGCAGAAAAATAAATACTGACCACCAGTATTAGTTGCCATTTTTGGGACCTTGCTGTGCGTAAGTTTGTACTGTATTTCCGATGTTGTGGTAGCTATACATTTAAAGTACATCTTTAAGGTACAGCTAAAGAAAGAAAGACTTGGATTTATTTAGAGCTTTCCACAACCCCAGATCTCAGGCTGTTTTATGGTTAATGCAGATCTTGTTTGAGTGTAATCACTCAACCAGCGTGTCATCTGGAGAGCCACAGCTCCATTAGTGTGCAGCGCCTCCTTGGTTCTCTGGAATGTTGGCTAAATTTTGTGCTGAAATCATTAAAATGTAACTTGAATCCATTTCCTCTGACTCAGAAGTTTGCTGCTTACTGAGACGCAGTTGATCTTTTAACTTGAACATAAACAGTAATTGTGAGACTGGAGCAGCAAGATGGTTTGGATTAAGTGGGGCATTGAAGAACCACACCTATAGTACTGTGCCATGTAAGCGACTTCATTGTCTTTTGTACATCTTCTCATGATTGAAGACTACGAGAGTGTGAACTTCCCACAGAACTGAGTTCTGCTGGAAGGAATTCCTGGTACTGTGTCACACCCCTTACCATCTTGTGGGCATATTGGATGTTGTGTTTCATGTAGATGACTGGCCCTCCAAGTGAGCTGGACAATATTTCTGTACTTCATTTGGTCCCGTCATGAGAGGTTGTTTTGTACTGCAGACCTTTAAAAACTTTTTCTAGGTTGTCCTTGCATCATTTATATGGAAAACCTTGATGTTTACCAAAAAACAGTTCATCAAAAAAAATCTGCCTCTGGATTCTATTGCTATTCATGTGAGTAACATGAATTTTGCAGAGTGTGGTCTCCTTGCTGTTGTGCCCAACATGGAGAACCTCATTTTTGATTTCTGTCCTGTCATCAAATTGTCCTGGTGGTTGTCTGCAGTCTACGGTATGTGTTCCCGAACTCTGATATCATGTCTCTAGCAGTCCCATGACTGCCACAGACCAGGTTTGTAAAAACCTGAAGGTATCAGATTATATGTCTGCAATCATAAAATAAAACTGCAATTTGTTTCACCTCTCATTAGATCTACTTTGTTAAATGAGATATTGCACAAATGTGGTAGAATTGTATGTCTGTGTTTCAGTATTCATCCCTGCAGAGCAGAGCTGCTGCAATGAAGGAACATTACGACAGCCAAATCCGTGAACTCCAACAACGGGTCCCTGCAACTAATGAAGCATTGCAGTCAGGTGATACTGCTGAGGAGGTATGGCGAGAGAGTTATTGTCACCATCACAGTAAAGCAATGATAGATGTTTGATCGTTCTAGAACGAATAATGTTACTTTGCTTTCAATGGAATTTTGTCCCTTGCTTTTCCATGCATCCGTCGTGACCAAGTTCTCAAAGGTCTGGTGTGACATAGCGACCACTAAAGATTCCTGAAGTGGAGTAGAGCTTGTTCTCACTTTGCTTTATTCTCTCCTGAGAGGGAAGTGCTTGCCTTATTGTTGAGAATTGGAGCATTTGGTGATAAAGGACATTCGATGCAAACCTAGTTCTGACTGCTCCGTGATTCTGCCATCCATTTCACTGAAAGGTGAATGTGATGTTGACAACTGTTTTTCCCATGGGCCCTCCAGGGGATCTGACTTTAGCTGTCTCAGTGATCTGATGCTCTGAGCACGCAGTCACACTCTGACATGTTTGCCTGATATTGTCCCTAGGTGACCATGAAACCTGTCTTGTTCTTGTAGCTGCTCAACCATCAAATTGTCCCTTTAATCAGGAAAATCAGGCCTCCTGTTTCTTCAGTTGGTGAGAAGACTGTTAAAATGTCTGTCTAACATGTTTGGTTACCATGTCACTTTGGTGCAATCTCCTTCAATTGTACCCAAAAATATTTTTCTCCCCTTCCTTCCTTCCCTCAATGCAAATACTCTTTCTTCCTCTTCCCCCTTTATTCAGAAAGCGAGTTAAGGGGCCATCAAAACCAGATTGATGGTTGCGAGTTTTGAGCTCTTTAAACTGTCAGTCTTAGTCATACAGCACAGAAATAGACTCTTCAGGCCAACCAGGTTTCCTAAAACTGAACTAATTCCGTTTGCCTGCATTTAGCCCACATCTGTCTAAACCATTCCTATCCAAGTACCTGTCCAAATGTCTTTTAAATGTTGCAACTGTACCCGCCTCTATGACTTTATCTGGTAGCTCATTCCACATACGCATCACCCACTGTGTGAAAAAGTTGCCCCTCAGGTCCCTTTTAAATTTTTCCCCTCTCTCCTTAAAATACTGCCCTCTGGTTTTGTACTCCCCTACCCTTGAGAAAAGACGTTGGCTGTTCACCTTGCGTGCGCCTCTCATCATCTTAATGACCACTAGAAGGTCACCCCTCAGCCTCCTACGCTGCAGGGGATAACAGTGTCAGCCTATCCAGCCTCCCCTTATAATTCAAACGTCTTGATGACATCCTTTTGTAAATTTTTTTTACACTCTTTCCAGTTTAATAACATTCTTCCTATATCAGAGTGACCAGAATTGTTCACAATACTCCAAATGTGGCCTTACCACTGTAACATGACATTCTGTTCTCAGTGCTTTGAAAACAAGCAGGTCAATTGCTGCCTGTCTGCCTGTGACACCACTTCCAAGGAACTATGTACCTGCACCCCTCGGTCTCTCTGTTCGACAATACACTCCAGGGCCCTACCAGTAACTGTAAGTCCTGCCCAGGTTATTCTTACCAAAATGTAACACCTCACATTTATTTGTATTGAACTCCATCTGCTGTTCCTCGGCCCATTGGCCCAGTTGATCAAGATCCCATTGTACTCTTAGATGACCTTCGCTGTCTGCTATACCACCAATTTTGGTGTTATCTGCAAACTTGCTAACCATGCCGTCTGATATTCTCATCTAAATCACTGATATAAATGATGATCAACAGTGGACCCTGCTCTGATCCTTGCAGCACACCGCTGGTCATAGGCCTCTAGTCTAAATAGCAGTCTACCACCACCCTCTGTCTCCAACCACCCAAGCCAATTTTGTATCCAATTGGCTATCATTCCTGGATCCCATGTGGTCTATCCTTACTAACCAGTTTACCACATGGAACCTTGTTGAAGGCCTTGCTAAAGTCTGTGTAGACATAGTCTACCTCTGTGCCGTCACCTCTGCCAAAATAAAATTCCAGTCAGTGAGACGCGATTTCCCACATTCAAAGCCATGCTGACTATCCCTGATCAGTCCTTGCTTTCCATTTGCATGTGGCTCCTGTCTCTCAGAATACCCTTAGAACAACTTAGCCACCACTGTCAGCCTTACTGTCCTGTAATTCCCTGACTTTTCACAGCGTTTCTTAAATGGCAAAACATAAGTCACTCTTCAGTCTTTCGGCACCTCACCTGTAGTTGTTGATGATACAAAATCTTTGCTAGGGGCCCTGTAATTTATTTCCCAGCTTCCCACAATGTCCAGGGATACATTTGATCAGATCCTGGGGATTTATCCACCTTTGTGTTTTAAGACCTCCAGCACCACCTCTTCTGTAATGTGAACTCTTTTCAAGTCATCACTACTTATTTGAGTTCCCGAGCTTCCATGTCTTTCTCCATAGTAAATACTGACATGAAATATTTATTTAGGATCTCTCCCATGTCTTGTGTTTCCACGCATAGAAGACCTCGTTGATCTTTGAGGTGTTATTTCTCTCCCTAAATTATTCTTTTTGCCCTTACTATATTTGTAGAATCTAAGGTTTTGGCGTAGAGTTGTAGATCGGGTTGTGGGTGTTGAGGTTGGTTGGCTCGCCGAGCTGGTTTGTTGTTCCGCAGACGTTTCGTTACCGTGCTTGGTAACCTCCTCAGTGCAGCCTTTGATGAACTCGACCAATATACATTCCACTACGGAGGAAACCCGGAAGTGAGACAATCCATCGCAACGGACCCCAGAGTTTAAAAGCCAGGTGGGAAAACACACCGACGCTTCATCAGAGGCTGCACTGAGGATGTTACCAAGCACGGTAACGTAACGTCTGCGGAACAACAAACCAGCTCGGCGAGCCAACCAACCTCCATATTTATAGAATCTCTTTGGATTCTCCTTTACCTTTTTATATGCTAAAGCTATCTCATGTCCCCATTTTGTCCTCTTGATTTCCCTCCAGTGTACTCCTACAATCCCTATGCCCCTCAAGGGATTCACTTCCCAGCTGCCTATACCTGACACGTCTCTTTATCTTTCTGGACTACAGCCTCAATATCTCTAATCATCCAGTGTTCCCTACTCCTGCTAGCCTTGCCCTTTTTATCGTGCTTTTGAAAGCCTCCCACCTGCCAGTTGTCCCTTTTACTTGCAAACAGTCTCCCCCAATCAACTTTTGAAAGTTTTTGTCTAGTACCATCAAAATTGGCTTTGCCCCTGTTTAGAACTTTAACTAATCCTTTTCCATAACGATTTTAAAACTAATAAAAATATTATCACTAATCGCAAAGTACTCCCCCACTAACACCTCAGTCACTTGCCCAGCATTATTTTCTGAGAGGAAGTTGAGTTTTGCCCCTTCTCTGCTGGGGCTGTCTACATATTGATTTGAGAGTTTTCTTGAACACACTAACAAATTAACAAATTTAAGCCCTTAACACTATTGGGTTTCACTTGGAGGGATTTTAATGGAACTGTACAGAGATAATTTCCTCTGTACCTGCCCTTGGAGTGTTCAATGTTGATATTGGTAATGGTGGGATGTCCTGACCTAGTGGTTCTGTTGTTTATCTTAAAAAATCAATTTCAAAACCTAACGTGTAATGAGAACTAGGGTGTCAAAACTTTCTGCAGGTGAAGAAAATCATGAATGGAGTGTTTCAGTCGTTGCGAGGAGAGTTTGACCTGGATGAAATGTACAGTGGCAGAGCAGTCCTTGGCGTCATTGTGAACACTATCAAGGTACAGACATTGCAACCGACCAACGCCAAGAAGTCAGAGCTTGGGCTTGCTGGTGTACCTGGTGCCTGTGATTGAACCCCACTGCCCAGACCTGGATTTTTTTTTTAAATGCTATCCTTTCCTTTTACTTATTCTCTCACATCAAAATAAACATGCAAGTATAGCTACTATGTCATCTGACTGCCCCAACTAGAGCTGTAGTCACTTTACCTTCTGCTGTAAGAATGGCTTTGGTGTTTGGTCTCTTTCTTGTATTATTTTATAGTGCATACACAGCAATAACTTACCAACAATATAGTCCCTTCAACACAGCTTGAGATGATTCACATTACCTGCATCAGGCACAGTTTGATGCAATATCACGTGGCATGGTGGCTCAGTGCTTAGCACTGTTGCCTCTCAGATTCCATCTGCAGGTGCCTGTTTGGAGTTTGCACATTCTCCCCATGTCTCTGTGAGTTTTCTTTGCAGTCCAAACATGTTCAGGTTAGGTGGGTTGGCCGTGGGAAATGCAGGGATGGGGTAATAGTTTGGTCTGGATGGAATGCTCTTTGGAGGGTTGATGTAGACTTGATGCGTCAAGTAGCCTGCTTCTATATCCATGCACTCTGAAACGCCCTTGGGTAAAGAGATGCCACTTTTGGCAGAATCCTCAGTGATAAAGTAAAAGAAATGGGGATATATGAGACCAAAATTACAGAGTGTAGAATGAAGAAAGAAGTGAAATCTATTACCAGTCTTTCCTGTAGGCTCTCCTTTCTTGTAGTTTAGCACAAAAGACTTGAATTTCAGCACAAGAACTATTGTTTTTGTCAAAGAATACCAATGCTCTTGAGAAAAGGCAGGACACAGTAGAAGTAATGCAAGAAAATGCCAAAGAACATTAAAAGCATGATTAGAGAAAAAAGGACAAATGCAGGCCTTAACACTAGTAATGAAAGCAAATGAGTAAGCATTATTTTAGTAGAAGAGAAGGTAGACCAATCGTGGCAATGTAGTAATTTTGATTCCAAATGAGAGAAAAATCTTGGAGGATTAAACCAATTTAAAAACACATACCAGACACAGTATTCATCTTAGAATGCTGCACAAGAGGATCTGGCAACTATTGACTGTTGTTATAATGGAAATATCAGATGTGATTGAGAAGAAGGATAATCAATAAATATATAAGACAGATGTGGACGACTGCAGTCCCATTATACTTCCATTCTGTGTGGCATTAATGGAATATGTTAGCAAGAAGGCATATCAGCATTATTTAAAATCTGGTAAACAGCATAGATTCAAAAAGCAGTCAATCCTGACTGAAGAAGTTCTGAAATCCTGAATGAGTGCCACCCAGAGTAAATGTAGGAAAGTGCTGTACCCTAATATGTCTAGAATTCCGCTCTAGGATTCATGTGAATTCCACTTTCTGAAGCTGTAGGCGTCCAGGAAAGCCTGGGCTGTAGATATGAAATTGGCTGAAGGGTAGGAAATCAATTGAGACATATGTTGAGTGATATTCTCCACAGCGCAGTTGTTTCTAATCTACACATGAACAACCCCCTGCAAGCTAGTGAAATTTTCTGCTGACACTAAAAATCAGGAAACTCTGGTCAGAAGTTGCATAATAAACTGATTTTAAAAAGATCGGTGTCAGAATGATAGTAACCAGTGAAATTTAATGCAGTCAAGAGAATAGCACTGCATCTAATGAGCAAAATAAACAACACGCACACTTGATGAATGCTGCTGAAAGAGATTTAGGATTCTGAATATGTTCAAAATATCTAACCAATGCGGTACAGCAATCAAAACCAAAAGGTTGTTGGAACGATATTGCAAAATCATCATGTCAGAGAGAGGAAGTCATGCTTTGGTTGATAATTTATCCACCACTGGCGATTGAGATACCAAGGAGACATTCAGCTCAGTAGACAGTAATTGCCAATGGCAGTGCAGGGAAGGGTAATGAAGCTGATTGTTTTCCCTGTGCCAAGAGTCTGAATTATGAGGTGTGTTGATCAGCCTGGAAAGGACAGGTTCAGGAACTGGAATAGACAGGATTTGAGCCCTTAACGGATGGAGAAGTAAATAAAGAATCCATTGGATTGCAGGACAAGAGTATGTTTATTAAACATTAATTCCGGGTTGATGTCTGGCAATTCTCCTTCATGGACGGCAATCAGTGTATAGAGTCAATCTCCAGGTGTTGTAGTTACCTGAAAAATCTGGAATTTTTTTAAAAAAAGTACTTATTTGCTGAAGTGCATAGAAATAGACATAGAAGCTACAGCATAGAAACTGGCCATTGAATCCAACAAGCATTTGCTAGTAGTTACCCTCCATCTGAACAAATAGACTTAATTGTTGGTTTCCATGTTTTAAATGCTTTTCCTTTATCCACCTATTCAATCTGATTTTGAATGCTGACATAGTTTCATTTTAGCCGTTAACTCTGGAAGTGAGTTCCAAAGCTTCTCAACTATGTGAAGTTTTTTTTCCCCGTTTTTCATTCTAAATTCCTGTGTTGATGGTTTCTTCATTCTTGCCTCTTTGGTTAAAGTGTGCATCTATTACTCAAGTCTTGCTCTCTCTGACAATTTTGAAACTTCATTATATTGTCCCTTTAGGACATTTCCAGAAGGATGAATTAAGATGGCCTCCCCCCATTTAAAAAAAAAAGTTAGCTTGTGTAGGTTTTGGTTCTGCAGTCACCCAAATGACCCATCATCTGTCAGGTTTGACATTGCTGACAGGCCTTACACCAAGCCTTACACCAAAATCTGGTGCTGTTCTCACCAAGTCTCCACACACCTACTGATTGTTAAGTTGAAATTGAAAACCCTGGGTCACTGCTGTTGTTGTCTAACTCAGGATATACTGGAGTTTGAATTTGGGACTTTTTCACCCTGACTGGTTCAGCAAGATATTGACAATGATGTTAAGGTTCAATTGATCATCCTTCAAAAATAAGCAGTTTTTCTTTCAGCAAGTACTCATATTTGAGTCTGATCTTAAACATGCAACATTTTCGCATCAACTAAGATCAGTTAATTCAGTATAGATGGAGGGATTAAAATTTATGAATCGGTTCCACAACTGAACCTCCCTGAACCCAGTTTGGTCATTACAGGACCCAGCAGTAATTTTTTTATGCCTTTGTTGCTGGTTCTGCAATGTATCTACAAACGATCTTGTCTTGTTCTTTTCGGACAGGCAGTTACCCTGAAACTTTTGATGAGTGGCCAAGACCAGCTAATCACGAAGAGTGACAATGAGGATGACGAATCTGAGGAGGAGCTGGAAGAACGAGCAGCTCCTCCGATTGAGATTAAAGTGAATACTGATACCTCAGAAAGTCAGAACGTTGCAGCATTGGATGAAAAGCAACCCACAGTAGCTGAAGCTGACCGGATAAGTGATGTGACTTTATCACCTGGTCACTCTGGTGAGGTGGCTACAGTGAAATCCGAGCACAATGAGGCTGATAGCTCGAAAGCAATGCAGTTGGAGTTGCAGCAGCCGGAGGCAGCTCTGACCTCTAGCCTGAACATTCCTACGCTTGCACAAAGCTTACCCACAGCAGATAATCAGGAGGCTACTGCAGAGACCTCCAGAAAAGGAGTCATTAATACACCGACTGAGATGAAACTGAAACCCCCTTTGTCTGATTGTCAAGGTGAAAAACCTCATCAACAAACAGAGGGCCCTGAGCACAACAGAACGCCAGAGAAGAGCCATAACCCATTGGATGGGGTTCAGCAGTGTGAGCTGGGCAATAGCTCAGTTTTAAACAGTCCATCAGCACATGAAAGACAGGAGGAGCGATCTCAAGCACCCAATATTGAAAGCAGTTCTAGAATTCAAGGGGAGCCTCTGCTTTCAGAACCTTTGCAGGAAACAGTCCCAGCTCTCAATGGGAATGAAGACAGCCCAGAAATCCCAGAGGGTCCAGTGTTTGAATCAAGCGAGTCTCCCTCGGAGCTGGATGCATTGCATGTGGCAGAATGTGGTTCCAGTGACACAAAATCAATGCCAGGACTCAAATCTAAATCTGCCCCTTCAACAAATGCTTCCAGGTAGATATTATACAAGTCGATGCAGTTGCAGAGCGTTTGGGTTCCCCAGACTGGGTGTCATTGCAATCAGACTACCTTATACCCTATTTCCAAAGTTTTCAAGATGCCCAAGTGGGAGTGAAACCAAATGGCTGGACTATTCAGAAAGCTCTAGTCATGTGATGGGGTCATGTAAGTGTTCTGTGATGTGGCCAGTCTTGAAGGGTAAAAGTGTTTTAAACAAAAAAAAATTCAAGTGTCTCATTTGGTTTTGGCTATAACTTTTCAGTGAGTGTGGGTGTTTCATGTTCCAGGTATTATTTCCCTCAGCAGGTGAGTGGGGAGAAGGTGAGACCTTTTTTCCACAGCTAGGATCTGGAATGCACTTACTGAAAGGTGGACACAGATTCAATAGTAATTGGAAACCTTGAAACATTCCTCTTCCAAAATGCTGTTACAGGCAAGGGATTTGCATTTCCAAACTGAAATTGGTATCAGATTGTTCAACAATGGTGTAAGGGAACAAGGGTGGGCAGATGGAGTTAAGGTACACGACTGTCATAATATAATTGAATGGCAAAAGAAAAAAATACTCCGATCTGAATAATGTAAGAACATAAGCTAAAAAATGGGAGCAGGATTCACCATTTTCAGCTGTCAAGTATTATGCATCATTTATTAAGATCATTACTGGTCAAGATCCACGCCAACTCCCATTACTCTTTCCCCATATCCTTAATTCTCTTGCTATCCAAAAATTTGTTGATCTCTGAGTAGAATATGGCCAATAATTGAGCGTTCACAGGTCAGTGGGATAGGGAATTCCAAAGGTACGCAAGCCTTCAGGTGAAGAAATTTGTCCTCATCTCAGTCTTGATCAACTGACTGCTTATTCTAAGATCTTGACCTCTTGAGGATGTTAGGGTAACATCCTCCCAGCGTAACATTCACCCTATTTGAAGAAGGGTCACCGGACCCAAAACGTTAACTGTGTTTTCTCCTTCACAGATGCTGCCAGACCTGCTGAGCTTTTCCAGCAACTTTGTTTTTGTTCCTGAAGAAAAGAGGAGTTTTTTTCAGTGTTGTAACACTGTTTCATGATAAATATTACATTTGAAAAACTGAATATCTGTTTTGCTCTGTGAAATGTTGGCTACTTTACAATATTGACTACATTTCAAAAGTACAAAAATAGAAGTTGCTGGAAAAGCTCAGCAGGTCTGGTAGCATCTTTTGAAGAAAAAAATCAGAATTAACATTTTGGGTCCGGTGACTCTTCCTGAGAACACTTGATTTTTTTCCTTCACAGATGCTGCCAGACCTGCTGAGCTTTTCCAGCAACTTCTGTTTTTGTTCCTGATTTACAGCATCTGCAGTTCTTTTGGTTTACATTTCAAAAGTAATTCATTGGCTATAGAAGACTTTTAAATGCCATTGGGTCATGCAAGGCACTGTAAAAATGCAAATCTTTTTCTCCTGCTCTGGTGTCCGTGTTACTTTATTTTGCTGCTGTTTATATTTGTTAGGTAATGTTTTGGGGAATTTTATAATTCTCTTGAAAACTTATTGGGCAGAGATGGATCAGAAGATCATTCTGGATTCCCCTCTCCTGATATCTCTCTAGTGACTCCTGCTTTTGTCTGGGCTGGATCAGGCTTGGCTAGGATGATGACTTCCACAGTTGAATAGCCCGTTTGCACTTCCTACCTCCTCTTCACAGATGAAGATTGCAGATTTCTGAGCTGCCAATTTCACTTCTTGAAGAAACTTGCTCAGTGTCAGTCACCATTGGGTAAAGAGCTGAGTAATAAAATGACCATGTACAGCTCTGTTTAAAAATGAAGAACAGAGATAATGATTCACTGACCCTGTAACCTTTTACTTTTTAGTCTTTTCAGTGATGATGATGATGATGACGAGGAGGGCTTGTTCAAAGCATTGACTCCGAAATTAGGAAAGGTAACCAAGAAGGAGGAGGAAGAGGATGAAGATGAAGTGGTAAGAAAGTAGGGATCTCATTCCTGCAACAGTGAGGGAGAATGAGGGCAGTGTTGCCATGGTCGTACCCTATTGTGGAAAGGAAGTTGGGAACTGGGGGTTTAGCAATGAAAAGGGACAGGGAGGGGCTGTAGTGTAAAGGGGTTGGGGGAAGGGAAGGGCTGTAGTGTAAAGGGGTGGGGGGGAAGGGAGGGGCTGTAGTGTAAAGGGATGGGGGGAACGGGAGGGGCGGAGGGGAAGGGGGGGGGGGGGAAGGGGGGGGTTGTAGTGTAAAGGGGGCAGGGCAACATGGGGCCAATTGTTTAATGGAAGAGGGTGTAAATAATTTGAGTGTTACAACAAATGTTGGATGTTGGGAACATGTAGTATGATTTCAGATCTAATCTCCATAGCAGTGACTGTATGCCAAGGTTTTACAAGCGGCACCCCTTCCTATTGCTTCAAGATCCTGATTATCAGTATGTCATTTGCCACTCTCTATCTCTCTCTCTCTCTCTCTCTCTGTCTCTGTCTCTCTCTGTCTCTGTCTTGCTCACTCAGAGTATGAAGGGTCGCCCACCACCAGCACCCCTGTTTGGAGATGAGGATGAGGAAGATGATTTTGATTGGCTTGGATAAAGTCACTTCTAAGATTGGGTGTAATTACTGTGGAGATGGAGCTGATTGCCTAAGGAACCAGAAAGTATCCTGCCTGAAAGACCTGTCTGAAAACGCAGTGCTTATTCCCTGTGGAACTTCTTATTCCGAAATTCTCTCTGATTGTAACTTACTGGGCACAGCCTTCTGGTGTGAGGTTGTCTGGAGTCCGAACAGAAGGAAATTGCGGATGAAATTGCACTGAATCTGAACCACACGGTGGTATTGTTCCTGAACACGATATGGCTCTGTTACAATCAGATTTCCTTTTTAATTCCTGCTGAATTTTGTTAAATTTTTACGGCTTAAACAGCCAAGGACAGCCGAACCCAGCACAAAGCAAATAGTGACTGCTTAATAATTCTGTTATTGTGACTGCCACCGTTTGGATATAAATCTCTCTTCATTACGTTCTGTCATCTGTGAGTGATGCTCATACAGGGAATAAGACATTCTTCTTGTTCTGTGTGTTGGGTACAGCATTGGTTTGGTCCAAAATAAAGTATCTCTGTGCCTTAACCTCTAATCACTTGGTGCCCAACATATCCATTTCCACCACTGTTTCTTGATGCAGCCTGTGTGGGCAGAACTCACTGTCTTCAGCTGTCAATGCCTGAACTGGAATTTTCTCCAAACCTCTTAACCTCTTTACCTGTTATCTCTAACTCCAGGATGCTCCTGAAAACATTCCTCTTTGCCCAGACTTTGGGTCATACAGTTTAATTTATCTTAATGTCAAATTTTGATGGGCTTGTGAAGCTTAAATGTCCGTTTTGTTTGGATCCATTTATAATTGTTGTGGAGACTTTGAGTGGAGGGATTTGAATGCCTAGTGCCCAACTTAAAGGAATTATGCAACAAGATTTCAACTTTAGAACATCACTGTAACAAACTAAAAGCAACATTGACTAAGCATTACCTAATAGGCAGTTAGTGCCAAGTTATTTTTTAAAAAATATTATTTTTGTCTTACCATGACCAATAACCTCATGCCACATATTAAATAGCATACTGGTGTACTTTATCGTATGGTTTCCATAGGCCTTCAGCTATTAGAGAAAACAGACCCATTTCACACTCTGCTTCTAATGGATTTACATCTCTCCATTTTGCTGAATCAAAGTATTTCATGGCCATTGTCCCTTGGTCTTTGAATTCCCAAACCAACCCACTCTGGTGCCAGCTTTGCCAGGGCAAATCCTGTAGAGTCTTTACAGTGCTATGGAATGCATCCCACTGATTGGAAACTCCTCTCTCTCTTGCCTAGTCATTCAGAGGATCAGCAGCTGCTGCCTTTCTTTTGGGCGATCTCTCTCTCCCTCCATGAACATCCCACCCCTCTTCCTGTCAAAATGACCTAGATAACGAGACTGTACCATTAGGGTGGCACGGTGGCTCAGTGGTTAGCACTGTTGCCTCACAGTACCAGTGTCCTGGGTTCGATTCCAGCCTTGGGCCACTGCCATTGTAGGGTTTGCACATTCTTCCCGTGTTTGCATGGATTTCCTCCATGCACTTCGGTTTCCTCCTACAGTCCAAAGATGTGCAGATTAGGTGCACTGGCCATGCTAAATTGCCCATAGTGTCCAGGGATGTGCAGGCTAGGTGGGTTAGCCATGGGAAATGCAGGGTTACAGGGATTGGGGAGGGGCTGTAAGTCTGATGGGATGCTATTCGGAGGGGCAGTGTGGACTTGATGGGCTGAATGGCCTGCTTCTACAGGTTAGGGTTTCTGATTCTATGATTCTATAGCTGAATTTGCCAATTAAACAGAGAGAGATAGGTAGTAAAGTAAGTCAGTCATGAGGAAGCTGAGTCTGCAAAGAAATGTAGATAGGCTAGGTGAGTGGATCAAAACTTTGGCAGATTGAGTGTAATGTGGGAATCTGAACCTGTCTCCTTTGGCAGGAAGAATATAAAAGCAATATACTATTTAAATAGAGAGACTGTTGATATTACAAGGATCTGGGTGTCATGGTACATGATTCACAAAAGGTTAGTATGGGAGGACAACACATGATTTAGGAAGACAAAGTATATGTTGCTGTTTGCTGCAAGGGGAATGGAATGTCAAAGTATAAGGCGTTGGAGTACTGTGTACAGTTTTAGCCTCCATGTTTGAAAAAAGTAGATAATTACCTTGCATTAGAAGCAGTTCAGCTAAGGTTCACTTTCTCATTCCATGGACATCTTGAGGTTGAACGGGTTGAGTCTTATACTGGGAGTTGAGAAGAATGGGAGGTGATCTTACTGAACCATAATATCGTGAGGAAGCTTGGGAGGATGTTTCCTCTCATCGAAGGACCAGAGTAAGAGATGTAATAAGTAGCCTTTTTAAAATTTGAGAAAAGGAGAAATGTTTTCGGAGGGTCATTTAGTCTGCAGAATTCTTTTCCCCAAAGAGCAGTCGAGGCTGCGTATTTGAATATCTCCCCTTTGAAAGGTCTTCCGTTTTCTCATTTACTGTTTCACCTGCAAATCTTTGATTTCAACCTGGCCATATATCCTACACTTGGTATTCTTCCAGTTGAGCATTTTTTATGTTTGCTGTTTGTCCTTTTCCATTTTAAGGCTTTAAACCTTGATGTCACAGGCATTGTTGCTGAGGCCTCAGCTATTTACACTTTGTCTCTTTTTTAACATCATTAATACGAAGAAATGCAACTATATAATGCATCATAATTGCTCATGATACTTTTTACCTAGTTTTGGAAGTTGTGGTCTGCAAAGACTGGTTGTGAGTTGGCAACTGGAGTATGATATGGGGGAATTATGCATTTTTGGTTGTAAGAGTGGAATTGCTAGATATTGTCTAACAGGTGTGAAACTTATCACTGATGATAGAGGAAACATGCAGATGCAGCAAGCAATTTAGAGAGCAAATGGCAGATTGAGCTTTGGACCATAGGAATGAAGTAGTCTTGCTACAATTGTTTAGGGAAGACCAAAACTGGAATACTGTGTGCATTTTCAGTTTCCACATTTATGAAAGGATATATTTTCGTTGGAGAACGTACAGTAAATGTTTGTTAAAATGGCCCTTTGGAGAGATGGTTATCCTGCAGCAAGATGTTAAGTAAATTGGGCTTTTCATCTGGAGTTTTGAAGGATGAGAGGTGATCTTATTTGCACATTCAAGATTTACAAAGGGTTTGAGAAGGTAGATGCTGAGAGATTACTTCATCTGGTCATGGAAATCCAAAACATGGGGGTACACTTCAAGGGAGTGAGTTGAGAAATTATTTAACTCAAAGAGTTGTGAATCTTTGTAATTTTCTACCACAGAGGATTATGAATGCTTATCTTTAAGTATATTTAAGGCTGATAAAGGGGTCTCAGGGAATTGAAGGATATTGGGAGAAGGCAGGAGAGGGTGGAGTCGAGGCCCAAAGTCAGCCACTGTCACACTGAATGGCAGAGCATGCTTAATGGGTCATGTGGTCTACTCCTGTAGTATTTCTTGTATTCCAGGAAAAATGTAAAGAAAATATGACAGGTGAACTGCATGACTATGAATAAATACATTTGATTGTGAGCGTTGCAGTGTGATTGAGTATCCCATTTCCAAAAAAAGGACTATGCAGTATCATGTGATGCCCACAAGAGGGTGGTAAGCACAGCTCAGCTATCACCACATTGTTGCCTCACATGAGCAAGGAAGTCAAACCATGATTTCATATCACACAATAATTCAGGCCACAGAATGAGTAATTCCTGTAGATCTTCACTGGTATTGACTGAAGTTTATCTTATGCATGTTTTTGTTTTCACTATACATCCCATATTCTGCTGTATTCCTAGCCACTGCCTTTCTCTTGTAGCTAATGCGTTTATACAGTGTGGAGCTGGAGGTCAGGCAGCATCAGAGAAGCAGGAGAGTCGACGTTTTGGGCCTAGACCCTTCATCGGGACTAGTGAGGGGAAGGGAGTTGGGAAATAAATAGACGAAAGAGAGGTGGTGCTTGGGAAGGTTGGTGGGATGGCGATAAGTGGATGCAGGAGGGGTAGTGGGGATTGGTCAGTGGGAAGGGTGGGGCGGACAGGTGGGGAAGGAGATGGACAGGTTGTGTCAGGTCAAGGAGGCAGGGATGAGATGGAGGGTTGGATATGGGATGAGGTGGGGAGATTTTGAAACTGGTGAATTCCATGTTTAGGCCATTGGGCTGTAGGCTCCCGAGGCGGAATATGAGGTGTTACTCCTCCAGTTTGCGGGTGGCGTCATTGTGATGCTGGAGGAGGCCCAGGATGGACATGTCACGCAGGGAGTGGGAGGGGGAATTAAAATGGTTAGTGACCGGAACGTGGTGTTGATTATAGTGTACAGGGTACAGGTGCAGTGTGAATCTGTGACCGAGTCTACATTTGGTCTCACCGATGTAGGGTAGGCCACATCGGGAACAATGGATACAGTAGACCAGGTCGGAGGATGTACAGGTGAACCTCTTTCAGATATGAAAAGTTTGTCTTGGGCCTCGGATGGAGGTGAGGGGCAGGTGTAGCATCTCCTGTGGTTGCAGGAATAGGTGCCGGGTGTGATGGGGCTATTGGGGAGTGTGGAGCAGACCAGGGAGTCAGCGTGAACGGTCCCTATGAAAGGCAGATAGGGTTGGGGAGGGAAATCTCTCTTTGGTGGTGGGGTCAGATTGTAGGTGGCAGAAGTGGTGGAGAATGATATGTTGGATGCAGAGGTTGATGGGGTGATATATGAGGACCAGAGGGATTCTGTCTTTATTTTTGTCAGGGGTGGGGGGGGGTTTTGAGGGCAGAAGTGCGGGAAACACAAGAGATGCGGTTGAGGGCATTTTTGATCAAAGGAAGGGGGACGTTACAATTCTTGAAGTAGGAGGACATCTGGGATGTCTGTGAGTGGAACACTCCATCTTGGGAGCAGATGTGGGCGGAGGAATTGGGAGTAAGGGATCGCATTCTTGCAGGAGGGTGGGTGAGAGGAGGTTTAGTTAAGGTAGCTATAGGAGTCGGTGGGTTTGAAATAGACGTCAGTGCTGAGACGGTTACCAGAGATGGAGATAGGGAGGTCCAGCAAGGGGAGGGAGGTATCAGAAATGGTCCAGGTGAATTTGAGGTTGGGGTGACAGGTGTAAGTAAAGTTAATGAACTGTTCAAGCACCTTGTGGGAGCATGAGGCAGAGCTGATACAGTCATCGATGTAGTGGAGGAAGAGGTGGGGGATAGGTCCAGTGTAACAGCGGAAAAGGGGCTGTTCCACATATCCTACAAAGAGGCAAGCACAGCTCAGACCCAGTCATTGCCTGGCATTTGTTTGGCACAGATGTTACTTGCCACTTGCCATCCCAGGCTGATAAGTGCTGACTGCCATTCAAGTGCTACACAATACAAACGAGGACCTCACCAGGCAGAAACCCCCAGCAGCAATGTACACTGGAATTCTATTTCCACAACTTCTGTCATTATTCTAATTCCACATTAGGGCACCCCACTGGAATTCTGCCCATAAATCCTGACGCTTGCAGTTGTCCATTTTTCAACATACAAATGCAAACCCCTGCTACTTATTGCTTCAGCTCGCTCTCAAACTGATTAAGGTGACTGTGGAAGGTCAACAGGCTTGGAAAAAGGGAAAGAGAACATTTCAGCCTCCTTTGTTGATCCTTCTTCCAGTCATTACCCAAACTGGTCAGGTTCTGAATGAATTTCATTTAATTGAGGAGACAATGCATATCTGGCCAGAGGTTGTGACTGGACCACAGCTGTATGATTAGTTGCGGGTACAGTAAAATTCTTTAAACGGACCCCGTCTTGGATAATGATATCTAATTTGTCAGATAAGTGGAACGTGAAGAAGGTTGAAACATAAAGCCAGTTTGAAGTTTGCTCAACTGCAACAACAAACTTGCAATATTGTTTTAGACTGGGCTGTAGTTTTACAGTAAACGTGAGACCCAGTCCTGGGTCCGTGGGTTCAAATTCCATTGTGGAAGTTATTGGAATTTAAATTTAATTAATAAATATGGAATACAAAGAACTAGCATTGATTGTCCTTTTTTAAAAAAATCTGCTTTACCAGTTTCCTTTAGGAAAGGAAACCTGACTCCAGCCACACAGTAAGGGGGTTGATGTTTAACTGCCCCCAGAAATGGCCTGGCAAGCCACATGGTACAAGGGCAATTAGGGATGGGCATCAAACACTGGCCTTAGCATCAGCAGCCACAAAGGATAAGGAAAAATGTCCCTAAATCCATATTTGAATAGCTTGGATGGGTGGCCTGCATTTTGTTGCTGGGTGCACTTGTTTTTCCATCTTGACTGCAACAGAGGCCGGATGGAGTCTGACCACACGTTACTGAACGTTAGGACACAGACGCTATTAATAGTCACACTCACCATTCAGGCACATGAGTTCATAGGGAGAGGAATTAATTACTGCTTCTGACCGGAAAACAACAGGAATTGTCTGCACTGCTTTTACAGTCTTTACTCAACCTCCGTTCTCACTCACTTCCCCATGATTTATAACTCAACCCATTCTGGCATTCTTTGTTCAAACCTTAGTGCCCCTTCTCCAGAACTCAACTACTTAACCAAGTTTGTAGCCCTCTTCCATAACTCAACTTCAGAGGGTTTTTTTTAAGAAAGCTTACTCTGCTGCAGAGATAGCAGGAACTGCAGATGCTGGAGAATCTGAGATAACAAGGTGTAGAGCTGGATGAACACAGCAGGCAAAGCAGCATCAGAGGAGCAGGAAGGCTCACGTTTCGGGCCTAGACCCTTCTTCCCTTTTTCTGAAGAAGGGTCTAGGCCCGA